AGATGGCGGAGGTGATTTAACATTTAAAGGAGGATGTTTCTGCAAAGGCTTTCAAATTTCAAAACCACAAAAGGCAGTTTCACCATGCAAGGTATATATTTTCCCATTCCTATTCAGACTATGGTTGAATAGTTGACACAAGAAGCTTCAGATCAAACCACAAACCTGCTCTACTGTCTGAGTACAGCATCGAATATAGGGGAAGACCTCTGTGCATTTCAGCTACTGCTCACTTAAGCTTGCCAACTTCACATATCGTACTGAAGATTAGCAGTGAAAGAGAACAACAGAAGATACTGTCAAAGGAGTTTCTTGTGTTTTAATCTTCAAGGGCAAAAATCTGAAGAAAAAATCAATGTAAGCAAAAAGCGGGTTGTGTTTGAAAGAAAAGTTTGAATAATACATCAGAAAGCTGTGAATTATTCACAAGACATTGCAGGAGGCTGTGGCTGCAGGAAAAAAGGCAAAAAACTGAGATAAAGCAGAAAACCAGTCTAAGACCAGCAGCACCCAATGGAAAACAGAGCATGATGAATGTATTCATCGTCTTCAGAGTATTTATGAAAGGCCTGGACGGCTGCAGGCTTTCACATTTGCCCTTCCTCTCCATGCTCCAACCACTCAGTGGGTTCTGCTTCCACCTCAGAGCTCTTTAACACACAATCACTCTAATGTTCTTGACAAAAGGGTTAAAGGGGGGGAGAAAATGAGCAATAATGAGTGACCGTGTGTGTTTAGGGGACGTTCAAATTATTTCTGCTGTGACAACATCAATCAAAGTTTATAGCCCGCATACCACAGCCAAAGACAATACCGGCTCACTATAAATGGAAGTCAGAGCCCAGGCCACTGATGGACAGATGGAGAAGAATCAATGTTATCTGATGGGCTGAGCATAGGGAATAAAGAGCAGGAGAGGAATATCTGTGGTTTATGTCAATTGCATTTGATTCCAAATGACCATCTGATATTCAGTTGAGCCCCAAAATGATATAGAGCACAGAGGCAGACACTTTTATGATCTCTGTGACAGAAGTGAGACATAACATTGGAGGTGATCTCTGCTTTGGTTGCTTAGCAGTGCCTGTGTGTGCTAATCAAAGCCTGTACTTGTTTCACCTCTACCAATTTAGTTGCCTGGGCTCGGAAATGTATTGGCCAGCTGTTGTTTCCTTATGTAGCGCTTGATCACAGAGGCACACACACGCATGCCGACTGGACCTCAAAGGTCTGCAGCCTTGTTTTTAGCTCCTGCCTCTAATCACTTCAGCAGATCACCATAACAGAACACATTGTTCACACACTCAAACACATATACACGCACTCAGACCAGAATTTCCAGGAGGGATTTTTAAACCTCCTCCATCCCCACTTTTAAAACCCCCTCGACCCCCCCTCTTTCCCCCACGTCTGTGCAGCAGAGCCCAGTGCGTGCACGCCCCTACACCCCAAACTCGTAAATGCGTCCTGGGAAAATGTGCACGTGCCGGATTCACTTTTGGGTTGTGCGAGTCAAACATGTGAAGCCCCGCTGGTTCTGCGGCAAGACGGGGCTTAGAGAGGAATCACAGCCTGGCCATCAACACACTTTTATTTATGAGTCCGGCCCTTAAGTTCACAATGAAAGTGTGGGAGAAAGTAGCAGCTGGACGCGGCTGATGTGCGCAGGGAACAGGATCCATTCCACAGATGCACAAGTGCTAACTATTTGTGACATCATCCTGCTTAATTTATGAGAGCATGTTGTTTAACCTTCACCTCTTTCATCTCCCTTGTCGTGAATTAACAGGAACAGAACTGCACTGCAATGTGTTTATGCCAATGATTGAACTGCAACTGTATCTATGAAGAGGAGGATAAACACTTTTTAACTTTTTTAAACTTATTACCACACACCATGACTGTTAAAGAAAGATTAAGAATAAACATACCATCGGAATCAATCACAGGTAAGTTGAAGAGCAGTTCTCATCTGGATTAAACACTTCTCATGTACTTTGCCACTGGCCACCTACCCACACATTTACAGTTGCTGCCTCCCCCAAGCTGGACAGCAGTGGGCCTCTTAAAAACTGCTTAGGAGCGGCTCAAAGAACATGCCAAGAGTCTGAGGTGTACACCCAGCCCCCCAAACCCACCACACAGCGATCTGATGGGATCTGACTGACACACCAGGATACTCACAGATGTCCAGCGTCCATGCCATGTGCAGAGCCGCTTTGAAAGCCGGAGAAGGACGTGTGCATTATCAGTTGGGTGATAGTGATGTTGTGGCTGAACAGTTTAGTTCACTCATTCAAAATATAGCCTTTTTTCTCTAGATGTTTTCCTTTTTACTACTTGCTTATCTATTATTTTTTCAAAGCATGCAACGTGCATCTGTTTCTCCAGATGTTTTCAAGTGTTTTCTCTCTCTTTTATTTATAATGCATTCATCTATTTAATGACTTAAATTGCCTGCCACTAACTGTGGCCTGGCCTCCATTCATCTAACACTTAGCACATGAATAAATGCAAAGGAACAGGTTGATGGCAGAACACTTGACATCGAATTTTCTATCAAAGTGGCAGCTAAACTGTGTCCTATTAATCTATTTATCACAACTGAATTTTTTTTTCATTCCCAAAAAATACATGTTAAAAGCAGTCTATGCTAACATGTATTACCCTGGCTCCCTTACAGAGGGAAGGGGAGTGGGTGGATAACCGAGAGGCCTGTGTTTACACTGGCAGGGTGAGCAGCATGTAAGCTCAATGGAAATGGCAAGCTCACATCTAATGTAGAGAGAGCTTCACCGTGACTGACGGGGCCTGAGGGGCTTTGAGGTTCTGCACAATCAACGCAGCGTGTTTCCCAGTGTGCTTCACTTCCAAGAGAGGCCGCACCAATCCAAACAAACATGATAGATTAGCAGAAAATGGCTGCCATTCCAGAGGTACGACACGAGAGCGTCGGCTGAAGGTGAGGGGGTGCGTGTGGCACAGAAAAGCCGGCCGCTTAATACGGGGTCTGCTTATTCGCTGTACACTGGAATTCCTGCATTAATGAAGGAGTTGGACTGCTGGAATCTCAAGGATATCCCAACAGTGTGCCTATCTTCCTTGACAAATAATGTACATTATTTGATCCCTATGGAGTCAAATGCATCCACAAATCTTTGGCATGCACTTTCGTTCATGTTCTGCTCATACGTTTCCTGCATGTGGTCCAAGACTTTTTCTACATCTAATTGCATTCAAGAGGAAAATAACAACCAGCGGTGGGACTCCAAGTCACAGTGGACCCCAGACAGAAAACAGATTTCTTTTAAAGTCATACATCCATTTATAAGAAGGAAGTTTTCCTCAGAAAAGTTTACATTATGATCTCTTTTCGCCTAACCTCTGGGAACAGAACGGATTTCTTGTACTGGCATTTAGGTCTTCATCAACAGGCCAAGAGTCTGTTACCTCACATAATAACATTGGATGGCATCTGTCCCTTTCACAGCAGCTTTACGGTTCTGGATTGGCTCCTGGAGCTGCATGTCAAAGGAAAAACTGTTTATCTGCTTAGAAAAGGGCAGAGGATGAGCAGAGGTGAAATTAACTTGTGAATAGATTGATGGACTAAAAGGAAAGCATAATTGATCCCATCCATCATAGTCATAGAAAGGACACACACACACACAACACACACACACAGCTCTCGCTCGGATCCTAACCAGAACATAATCTTGTTAGCCACACAGTTGCTGTTTATGCATCCCACACATTTTACTCAGATTTGGATCAGGAAAAAAAAAGTACAAATAACTTTCACTCTGACATTCTTTGACACAGTATCCAATGCTCAGCATGGATGTAACCCCACCCAGCACATCTGGACTTCTACAGGGCTGATGCAAAGGGAAACACAAAGAGCCTTGTGAATAGCCCATGTCTGCCATCTAGTGGAGAAGAGAATGATCACTCCCTCTGACAGGAAGTTTCACCAACGTTCATCATTAGAGACATCCATCCATCCATCCATTATCAATACCGCTTATTCCCTGTTGGGGTCGCGGGGGGAACTGGAGCCTATCCCAGTGGTCAACGGGCGAGAGGCAGGGTACACCCTGGACAGTCCGCCAGTCCATCGCAGGGCCACACACAGGACATACAAGGACAAACAACCACTCACACTCACATTCACTCCTAAGGGCAATTTCCCCAATCTCCAATCAACCTAACATGCAGGTTTTTGGACTGTGGGAGGAAGCCGGAGAACCCGGAGAGAACCCACGCAGACACAGGGAGAACATGCAAACTCCACCCAGAAAGGTCCTGGTTCCCCCGGGATTCGAACCCAGAACCCTCTTGCTGGGAGGCGACAGTGCTAACCACCACACCACTGTGCCGCCCCATTAGAGACATATTGTTTTAAAAAGTAGTTCATGAAGGGAAACTTTTGGTTCGATAATTCACTGAAAAATAAAACACAGAGATATCTGCCTGTAGAAAATGACAGCTACCTGGTCTTTGTATGTGCAAAGTTTACTGTGAAAAAAGAGCTTCTTATTTCTTTTTATCAATTACAAAACTATTTAACTCATTTTTCCTGGAATAGAACTCTACATTGTTCAGGCAATCATTGTTTTTCACTTTTATTATCTAAAATCAAATGTTATGGTTCAATTTAGTTTTACATTGTACAAAAAAATGCAGGCTTATTTAAGACATTTTGTCACATTACTTTGTCCCACAAGCACTGATAGACTAGAAGTTCAAAACTGACTGACTAACAATACACCACCACCACCAGAGGGCTCCGGCCTCCCCTTACACCACAGCTCTATACAGTCTGCAACACTAAAGAATAACATGTTTGGTCTCTTTAGAATAGCCCACAGACCTTTTGTTGAGATATAAGATGGAGTTCATACACAAAAAAGCCTTTGAGGAACAACTTGTGCATAAACTGTGGAGGCTAAGGGTTCAGCGAGGCTTCTGAGAACGTGAAGGACCAGAGGTTGGAGGTTTCAGTCCACTGTGACACCCTCTGGCAGCTCCACCACGACAGGTGCGCAGTCATCCAAGTCGGCATCAAAATCCCAACTGAACTTCTTGGTCAGGTGGGCTTTGAACTTCTCCGCTCTCTTGCGCAGGGTTTCATCCATTCCAGGTCCGGAGGCAAACTGGAAAAAGTCCTGCAATACAAGAAGTTAAGCAGTGTTGGGATTTGGTATGTAAATGTAAACTTCCTTTGTAGGAAGGTGGTGATTTCCAAGCAAATGCACACATGTCTCATATGGGGCAAAGCTGAAGAACAATAAAAGTAAACTGTTCACTTAAAGTAACTCAAATTTGGCCAATAACAATATTAAAAGAGTTCATTAAGAAATCCTGAATGTACAGTATTTTTTCCACACTTAATGAACACTCTAAGCCGTTTTCACCCAGTCACACACAAACATAAATGTTAAAGGCATGCATACACCACCAACACAGCCACCTGTAATACAAGCCTGTGTTTTTCTAAAAAAAAAAAAAATAAATATATATATATATATAGATAGATAGATATAGATAGAGAGAGAGAGAGAAATAAAAAGCCAAAACACTGATCAAACGATGTAGAAGAATAGTTATCGTTTTCTAAAGTTACAGATTTATATTAGAAAATATAAATAGTTAGAAACGGGGGAAGCCACAGATGCAGCTGATTTATTTAGAGTTCGTAATTAAGTTAGTGAATACCAAACAGATGCATAGATTTCTACCTTTACATGTCCATTGTCTTTTTACAAACAATTAAAATGCCAGTTTTTGAAAGACACAACTGTATTTTCTTGTTCCACTTTTGTACTTCGAATAGATAGCAGCCATTCCTGCACCTACTTTACCTGCAGTGTGGTTGTGAGGAAGTTGTTTTGCGACACAATGTCAACAAAGAAGTCGGGGGGTATTTCCCCTAGCTGGTGGTAAAGCACAGTGATGAGTCCCAGGTACAGCTCCTTGCGCCTCCGCATGGCTTCTTCTGAGCGGCACAGCAGAGCCAGGAGACTCTTCCAGTGCTCGAAGCCGTCGTACACGTCCCCGAGCAAGAAGCACACGAAGGCAAACTGCAGCTCCCCTGCAACAAATGACGTGCTGGTCACATTTTTTTCTCAGGAACGCAACAATGTGCTTGTTTGTCAAGTGGATTACAGTCATACCTAGCAAGTTGAGAGGCTGCTGCTGGTGGTTCTCCTCCAGCACGGTCTCCAGAGTGTAACTCAGGTCCATGCTGCACCGGGTGATCTCGGCCGGCGTGGCCCCGGGGGGGTAGGTCTTCTGAGGGATAGCAGAGAGCCGTAACTCGGTTCCCTCCCTCACCTTCATCTTAGGAAGCCTGTCCAGCCCTTCTTTCATGCTCTGGCAGGCGGTGTCATTCCTCGGGAGCTCTGCCCTGTCTTTGGTGTGTCTAAACTGAAGCTCGGGAATCACGTCGCTGAAGGCGCATATTCGACCCGTCAGAGGCTGTAAATTGATGGCCAGCTCCTCACTGAGGCGGTCAGTGAGGGACACCCACTTCTTCATCACCTCATAGGGATAGGGGCCCAGATAGGGGTCCAGCTCTTGCAGGGTGGCCCGGATTCGGTTCACTTCTTCGTCGTTCTTGGACGCTGAGAAGTCAAGATCTTCTTCTTTGGGGTCCCAGTTGGCAAGTAGGATCTCTCTGGGTTTGAGAGACAGGAAGAGGCCCATCTTCGGGCCGGTTTCTCCGCCACTGCTTGACGAACTAACAGCGCGATAGTGGAGGAAGTGGAGTCCGGGAGGAATCATCTTAACGCCCCGGAATCGGGGACCTACCTGCCAGCTCTTGCAGTCTATCCCGAGTTCTGTACCTCGAGGAACACCCAGCAACACCAGGGTCGCTCCCTCCTCAAACAGCCTCCGGGCAACATCTGGATCCATGTTCACACTGCTGCTGCTGGCCATAGCTGCTACCGAAAGCTAAAATCAAATCTATGCCTAAAGAGCGAGATCTAGAACTAAACTGTTGTCTTTAAAGGGTTTCCCATCTTCCATAAAGTATCTTGCGAAAAATGCGCTCAACTGAGTTTCAGCTAATACTCCAAAAATACGCGCTTTATTTATCAGTCTCTGAAGAACATTGCAAGAAATACTTTCCAAGTTAAGTGATGCGATTGTTTAAGAGCAAAGAGACTTAGCCACCGTAACCATACCACCCTGAAGTTAGCAAGTGTTTCCACTCGGTTGAAACTGCGTAACAGACTTTCCGTTCCGGACTGAAACACTGTCGTATTAGATGTGTTCCGCAGTCTTGTGCAGTCAGTGACTTCAATGGTTCTGATCTTACAGACTTTAGGTAAAATACCAGGTTTTCAGATATGCACGGTTCCATAAAAATATCAATAGATATAAAAAGTATATTTTTTTATTAATGTGGCATAAACTTTACAACAGAATGGACAGAAGAATATTGTATGTGAATGTTAATGTATGGCTTAAAGACACAAAACAAATGTTACAACAGCAGAGATCATATGCATATTTTCTAAAGTATTGAAAGGAAAAATACATACTTTTTAGCTTATCTGTGGTTACTATAAAACTATTCAACATGACATGGAGCAATGCTGACATGCAAAAGCTGGCAGTTTTAATTCTCAAAACACTGAGAACTTGACAACGGTAAACATTATTGGCATTGCATTAGAATACAGCTATTTTATTTAACAAAGTCATAGTACTGTGAATGTTCTGGAAACTCAACAGGTCTCTTTGTGAAAAGGTAGCTTTTGTTATGGGAACCAAAAGGAACACAATCTTGCCTACTTAGAGACCATATACACACTCTGAAGCTTTTCCCAACAAATTATCAGTTGCTTGATAACTCTGATTAACATGATCCTCTTTCTCTTCTTTCCTTTTATTTTCCGGACAGCTGAACACAAATCTTTCTTTGCCTAAAAATAAGTAAGAAAGGAAAATGTTTTTTTTTTAAAAAAGAACGAATCACATGTCATGTTGCTTATTTCTTAGATGGCTTTGGGGGATGCTAAACAGTTTGTTAAAGTCCATTCTCTTACCATGTAATCCGGGGAGCAGTTTTGAATGATGAGCAGCTCCATGCTCTCAATTGGCTTTTCCATCTCAGAAAGGTGCTTGCCACTCCTACAGTGTATTTTCTGCGTCATACCATATATGGAAATGAGGATTTGACGGGCCTGTCATGAGACAAAAGCACTAAAAAGTTAAGGAGCAGTAGTAATATTTAGATAATACATTAAAAGTAAAAAATAAACCTAACTAAATGTAATTATTCCAACTCTCTACAACTAGTTTGTGTCACAAAATGGGATACATGAAACTCACTGTCCATGGTGCTGAAAATAGTAGTGAAAAGCACGTAAATGACAGAATTGTGAATACACAATCCTTGTTTGTTTTTTGAGTTTTTTGAAAACTTTTCTTTAGTTAAATTTAGTTCCTGTATTTTCTGCTTAAAATGTGTTGTATAATCACAAATATTTTGTGCAGTACAGTGTTTTGTACAGAAAATATAGAAATTTCCATTTCGTTTTTTTTTTCTCTTCATTTTTTCTTTTTTTGTGTGTGTATTACGTTTTGAACATCAAGAACAATATATGAAGGGTGCTGAATGATCTTCCTGTTACCTTCCCCGAGGGACAAGGGTCTCTTTCTTTGAATGTATTTTGAGAGAGAGTCAGATTCTGCAAAGAGAAAATTGATCATGGATTCATTAAAACATTTTTGTTTGTCAGTAAGGGATTAAACGCAATTGTTTACTTGCATCAAACACTGGAGGGCAGCATGTCACCAAATAGTTAAGGCTTTTCCACCAAAGTTTGAACAGAATACATTATCAGGCCTACAAAACACAAAATATCGAATGAAATAAAAACAAAAATCTCTCGCTGACACGCCCTAAAGTCTAATGTAAATCTCTGTTTCCATACCAAATTCTGCAGCTCGACAAAGATGACCTCTCTGTAGGAGCCCAATATTTCTTTATAGTTACATCTGCGTTTGCCACATGTGTTGGCCAACAGGAGAAGCACCAGCACACTACGGAGCAAAGTTCCGGTCAGACACTGCAATACAAGAGAGGTGGGAGAACGTGGACAAAGTGAGCGCACGCTCCGTTATCCGCTTTGAATTGTCCCCATCAGCTCATCTGCTGCGTAAATACGCACGGCTGCACTTACCATTTATCATGTTCTTATGCAGGAGCCTCAGACGAGTACACTCATCCCTGTCATGGACTGGAAGATCCAAGGAAATACCCCTGATCTGGCTGCGCTCATCGTTACCAAACTTTTTCTTTTTTTTTCTCTCTCGCCCAGTGTTTAGCACCTCTTTAGGGCAGAGGTTACTGCAGTGGTGGCGACGGCACGTCCGGCGTGTTGCTCCGCGGTTTCCAACATCACCAACGAGACTGCTGCTCCGATTTCCTCCTCCGTCATGGATTGATGGCTCTGGGCATAAGATTTCACCAAACTCCAGTCCGATCAAGTCCAGGAAACTCTAGCAATCAATCACTTGCCTTCCGCCTTTCGGTTTCGTTTGATAGCCGTGGTACCAACAGGAGAAGAATTTAGCCGAGCTTTTATCAGAGGCGTTCGTTTAACAAAAAAAAGAAGAAGTGGAGTTTAAATTCTGAGTGGGTGGCTTTAAGGGAGATCACTCAACCAAAACCAAAGCGTCCAGTGTTACAACGGAGAACAAATATGGGAACTGCATGGGAGGATTGGTGCTGGTCAAAGGTCTGGGAAAACATAGGCAACAAAAGCAGCAATTGTGCACTCAGATTTTACATTTAAAATGGTTGGATTAAAATGTTTGGAAAAAATAGACCACAGTGTAATAAACTTTATTTGCTTATTAAACTTATTGCAAAACAGGTCTAAATTCTTTGAGACAGCTATATGAGAAAAAAGGACAATATCACATCATGACAAGCGCTGTGATTGTTGCCATCGAATACTAAACTGTCCACTTCCAGTAATAATAGCCACAACTCACCCCCACCTACATGAGCAGAGAAAAACCCATGTTCTACTGTCACAATACCAATGCTGTGGGTTTTCGGTTAATTTGTGGGTTTCTGTTTAGGATGTAAAAGTACCACATTTACACTTTCCAATGCATTGTAAGCATGCTATTGAAGAAAAACCATCATCCATGGAGAGTTTTCCTGCGTACAGGTTTGTACACGCACAGAACACTAAACACCAGGATGTGGGTTCAGGTTCATTTACTCTGTATGTGAGGAGTCTCAGTAAGTGATTAGCTAGCAGAGCACTCAGATAAAGAAAGCTGGTGACAGAGAACATGGCAGCTACTCACTGGGCTCTACAAAAACAATAAAGAATACAACACATCAGCAACACTGAAGTGTCTCATTTAAAGAGCAAGCTGTGTCCTTGTGTTGGGTATCAGGAGTCTTTTCCTATAATCAATGAAATCAGGATTCTCATGGTCACACTCAATTTAGCGTGCATGCCATTTGTCATCCACCCCATCGACTGTTTGCCAAGCCTGCTGTTGTCAAATCAGACACAACAAATGATCCACCCCTCCCTTTGGAGTGCAGTACTAATCTGATCTTATATTTAAACATCTCAAACCAGCAGCTGAATAGCAGCTTGTTTTTTTTAATGGAGGTGCTATTTATTCTCAGTAAAATGTCTTCAAAGGGGTTTAAAGAATATATAAAGGTATCCTACTACACTTGATGAAATCTTTTATTTATCAATGAGTGGACAATGGATTAATCAAGGCGAATTGGTGGTGTTTTTGTCTTTAATGAAACAGGATAACAGGGCACAGACCGCTGCCTCTCAGAGTTTATGGGGTGGGCTTTCAGCAGAGCTGCATGGGGGGTGAAGCCCTGAAACAAACTTACTGCAACCTAAATCTTTGCTCAGTTTCATACAAGCCTCTTTAACAAAAACAATCATCATATGAAGTATCATCAGCATCATACGGATGGGGGAGCTCGTATTTGCAGTGAAAAATACGCTCCCAGAGGATGCAGTCCGGGAAATTTCTGCAGGAGAGGGTGACCATCATGAAAAAGCCTTAAGAATAAAGCGATCATTGATAAAAATGGCCATGAGCTAAGACCTTGATAAATCCTAGGTGCCAAGAACACCTGGGCCACATGACATGAGTAACTTCTAAAACAAACAAACAATAAAACCAAACAAAAAACCGAGAAACTTCTAGGAATGAATTCTCCTCTCTGCTACCACATTTTCACATGCAGAACTTTGTCTGATCGTTTGGTGATTTTTCACTTGATCTCAAGTGTGCTGAAATCTGTTCCACACTTTGAATACACAATATTTTTTCCTGCTGATGAGGAACAAATTGAAACAAAAACAAAAAGTACAATAGTGACAGGAGGAAAGACATGAACTGAGACTGGTGAGTCCTGGTGGAGAACAGGCAGGTCCATAGCTGTTCCCTGACTGCGACTGCCAGTGTCCTCCGTGGTTTTTAAGTCCGACTTTCAAAGAGCCTCAGAATGTGTTCTTGATCTTGCTGGCTACCTGCGTCAAGATCTCTCCCGTCTTCTTCTGCCAGTTCAGGACGTGTTTGGACTCGGCACACCACAGCTCTCCATGCCGGGGCTCTGCGTTCTCACAGCGCTTCCGCACCTCTTCCTGCTGCTCCTGATGGACACAAAACATGGAGGTAAAACACTTCCAGCGAAAACTAGCGACACGGACAGCACTTTAGCGAACGAGAAAAAAAAGATGTGCGCTTTAAAACTGACTCGGCACCCATGTCCATGGCACCATTGATAGTGCAGCACAAGTCCAGACACATGATCCCTACCTCGGTGCCATGCTGCAGCTCAAACTTGTAGAAGAGGGCCCAAGCGTCTCCCAGGTCTGGCTCGATCTTTACCGTCCGGAGGAACCATTCCCTGGCTTTGGTGATCTTCCGCTCACTCCAGAACAACCTGAGGTGTGCAGAAATAACAATAGAATTGTAACTAAATATACTTTAAACAAAACTGTAAAAAATAGGTTCACAACAGAGGCCTTGACAGCTTATCTTTAACTAGGAGACGACAGATGAAGACATACTTTGCCACAGCGAGCAACACATGGGGGTCATGTTCACACTTCTTCAAAGCATCCACACTCTTAGTCTTCCTCTGGGGCCTGGCCTCCAAAAACACGGCTTCAGCCCACAGGATGCCTTTGAAAAATGAGAACAAAGTTCAAAGAGATGCAAAAACTATTTATGAAGTGACTTCTCAGACAACCGGTTTTATAAAAAGTATTGTTCTGTTACCAATAATGCATTTAATGAAAACCATGTTTTGACCCTTGTATGAAATGCTTCAAGATAAATCGAGATAAACACCAAAAAATGAAGAGCGTTCTCTCACACACACACACCAGAATTTGGGCACTCCTGCAAGGCTTTGGCCATCAGTGTGTTGGCAATGTTCTTCATCCCAGCCCGGTACTCCAGTCTGACTGACTCCAACCTGGTTAACACATGTACCATATTTCAGAGGCATGAGCATGCTATAAGACAAACTTTGAGCAGGTGGTTTTATTTTTACATTTCACACCTTAATGAGTTACACTGTAGGTTCACTTTGAGCACTATAAGTCTTATAACTGTAGAGTTGTTTGATAATAATGGTAATAATAGCTCAGTTATATGTACAGTATGCTCGACTATAAAACAGCATTGTTGTTGTTCCATTAGCACTTTCTCACCACAACTCAGGGCTCTGCGGGTTCTTGAGTCGTGCCTTTTCCAGGATCGCTCTGGCCCTGGTCAGCTGCCCCACTCCCTCCTCAAGTCGAGACAGCAGCAACCACAGAGGCACAGAGTGGGGGCACTTTTTCAGCTGGGGTGAAAAGGAACACCAACTATTAATTATCCATTGTCATGTGGATTCACTTATTTCATCAAGAACACATTTCAAAGCAAATGTAAAAATCCACTTCCTGTGACCCTGTTCCCACACGTATAAATTAAACCCTAAACAACCAGGCCTCACCCCTTGGTTACAGGCTTCTCTGGCCTTGTCCAAATGTTCACACTGCTCTTCAATCTGGCCTCGCATCATCCAAAGTTTGGGGAAGTCCTCATAGTGTTTCAGGGCCTCAGTGCAAAGGTCCTGGGCAGCTTCGATGTTCCCCAATACCCACTCCAGCTTCACTGACTTCATAAATACCTGCAGAGAGCAGAGTGGAACAGGTGTAAACACAAGCATAAACAATGATGATTTATGGATTTTTGTTGGTGCTAACAAGACCAGCCCCCCCAAAAAATTAAATCGATATTTAATTAATAGTTGTTTTGTACCCTTATGTGTAATTTCTCATGTTGAACTCCAGCCTATATATGCACTATTTTTTTTTAATAGTCAGTTAGTGCAGCTTATATTGATGTACACTCAACAATTTTAAAATGCTACCAACTTACTGGGAAATAGAGTAATGGTATAGTAAAATTTCCATTACCATCACCATAGCATGCTTCAAAAGGAAAAAGCCTTAATACTTAAACTGGTCATGTCATCATAAAGTGTTTTGTTACATGACTGGAAATCACCACAGCCAACATTTAATTGAGGCTCTTTTAGTGATATCTGTCAGCAGATAACAAAAAGGGAGTGTTGCTAGGTCACCGATAAACAGCATGACAGCTAAAGAGACCAGCTGACAACATCAGCCGCAGTGCTGGTTGTTTCAAGGTGTAGAAATTTTGCAAGCCTGAACCTGAGTGGGATAAAATGTTTGGAGAAGCCAATCAAAATATTGGGTAGTGTTAGCTTACAACTAAACAATAGCTTTCAAACAGGCAAGAATAAAACCTGATTATCAAGTCAACCATGAAACAGGGTGAGAGGAGCTCTTTCAGAGCTGCCATCAATTCATTTCACCGTACAGAACTTAGATGAACGGCAGTAAAACTGAAAGCATAAGACTTTATCAGCACAGTTCTGTTGTATTAATGGATAGCGAGAAAAGACAAACGAATGCACATTAACTTCCTATAATAATTTTGAGCCATTATAAAATCAGAAATGCAAATCTCATCTGGGAAAAGACTCTGACCGAAGGTCCCCCCAAAAAAGCTGCATCAACAGTTAAAATGGGAGTCTTTTGACCTTATCCGACTCCCACGCACTTTCTCACACACTCACCCTGGCTGTTGGTGCACTACTGCGAGCCTTGGCCAGCAGTCGACGGGCTCTCTCATACTCATTATTCTCAGACTCCAGTTTGACAGCAGCAAGCCAAATCTCTTCACTGTTAGGGTTAGCCTGGAACGGGAGGAGGGACAGAAAGCGTGTGAAGAGGGGGGCCATGGCTGGACAGACATACACACAGCCTGTAACATGTACGCAACACGATATGCGCACAGGTCAGCATTTGAATGATTTCAGTGTCACCTGGAAAGCCAAAGCGAGGATACTTCTAGCTGCTGGCACATCCTCTGCTAACCACTTGGATTTGGCGCCCATCAGCCAGAGGACCTCGGCTTTGGGACAGTGAGCAACAGCTCTCTGCAGCAAGGCCTCCAGAGACTCTCTGAGAGACGCAGAACAGAAACAAATTAAGCACATGAGAGTAGCACCAGATGAAGCTCGATGGTCGGCAGCAAAAATGTGCGGAAATACGGCGAGTGGCAGTTTCAGACTAAAGCACTTTCCAAACTTAAAAAAAATAACCAAAAAAACAACAATGGCAGAAAGAAACAATGGGGGGCTGATCACCTGGTGCCGTGGTTCTTCTCGAAGTAGGCAGCTCGAAGCCAGACGCTTTTCTTACTGGGAAACACCTGCAGGGCATGTGCATAGATGGCCCTGGCGCACTCCAGTGCTCCGTGGGCCACGCACTGAAACACAAATACATGGTTAAACACAAAGTAGTATGTAATTGTGACTCCAAGTGTAATATTCCTAATGTGTTATTTGAAACAATCTTATATCCAAACTCACGCTCTCTGAGTCCTCCATCCAGGTGTGTTTGCGGTCCTCCTCCTCAATTCCGATCCCAATGACGGCCCTTATCACTGCCTGGCAGGTAGCCACGCTGCCCGCTTTGTCACACTCCTCTGCATCCTGCAGGACAAGAAGGAGCACTCAGGGAGAGAAGACTGCAGGTGAAGAGGAAAAATACTAAAGGCATGAACTGTTGGCTACAGTTGTAGGTCAGGAGACTCAGTGGAATGATGATGCAATTTAAGTGGAAACATTAACAAAACCTGAGTTACTGGTTTGTATCAAAGGAGATAAGTCACAGTTTATAGATGCTCATTCTTTTATAAGATGTAATCAAAGCAGAAATAATCCAAAATCCAATACTGAAATCTGAACATTACTGTTAATCATCAAACATAAAAAAAGACAGATGTTACCACCCTTTGTCCTTTTTTTAACAGGAAACTGCAGACAAAACATTTACCTATTTAAAAGTATCACAACACGGAGCTCTGTTGGAGATACGGCTAAATCATTTGTGAAAAACAAGTGCAAATTCAAAGCATTAACTACAAACCTGTATCCACTGTTCTCTGTTGATTTCCACACCGTTGGCACGCAACGAAGTGATGGCCCTGTCGATGATCTTCTCCACCATCTGAGTGTTGCCATTAGCCTCTTCCAGCTTAGCAGCAGTAATCCAGATGTGGCGGTCAGTGGGAATATTCTCTCTGGCTTTGTTCAGGACACGACGAGCGTTCTCGTATGTTTCTAAGCGGGCCAGAGCCAGCCACAGCTACAGGAATCACAACAGTTCAACATGAAGATTGCTACAGATGTTCAAAAGGTGCGACACACTGTGTGAGGAGTATCTGCTGACCTTACACACTTCAAATGGAAACAATAACATTATTTGAAGCATACCTCCACACTTGTAGGGCAACACTCAACAGCCCTGCTGAGCATGATTCTGGCATCCTCGGGTTCTTCCAGCTCAACGGCGGTTTTCCACAGTCGGACTGACTTCGAGACATTTTCCAAGGCTGCACGGGAACCAATCAAACAACCCGGAGGTCACTGTTAGGACACTTCTATCTGAGGGTTGCACAGTTTACAGCCACGTGGTATTGCTGCTAGGACTTTTTTCCCTCATTTTAGCAAACTCATACGGAAGAAAAACAAACACAAATCTTACAAAGATCCTGCCAGATGACAGCTTTAAGTTATTCTGACACAGATGAGGCAGGATATAATGCTAGGGCTCTTTCTGTCATGTAACAAGTCATGTTAGCTAAGTAAGTGTTCTCAGGTTACTTAAGACGTGCCAGCAGAGTAACAAACTTATTAAAGCAGTCTTTTCTACATGTTTAACCCTACTGAAGCCTTGTTACAGTGGACAGTAACAGCCAAAGACAGCTTGCTTTGGTCTTCAGACGAAGGAGGAACAGGAAGTCAGTATCTCCACAATTTACACAGTAGCTGAGGACATGCATCTGCTCCTGCTCTGGCAGACAGTTATGTAAATGTGACACCAGAGTTAACGGCTTCATTTCTCAAGCTCCAAAAGGGAATACGGCTCTAAATTTCAGAATGTCGTGTAGCGTCTGACAAGGAGGACAATAGCTCCTACCAGCGGACAGAGCAAAGCAAATGGCTTTTTACAGTTTTAGTTTAACATCAATAATAATTCATTTTTTGAAGAAAGTGAGCAAGAGGGATAATCAAATGCTCTCCCTTTTATGTGTAACATAGCATATGTTTTTTTATTAACGAAAAAATATCTGGTTTGGATGATACCACCAACCCGAGTTTGGACAGACCCACATTTAAATACAATTAATTCTAATTTTATTTCATGCTATTATGCAGTGAAACTTGTTTCTTCCTGTCCCACATAGGGGTTGTGTTTCCATTTTGCTAGTGAAGTTGCTAGCTTTAGACAAAGTCTTCAGTCGCATCACTTGGATAGTGTGTGCCTCAACTCTCACAGAGCAGACACTGTGGCTGCAACTTGACCCGAAAAGGAGAGAGAATATCATTTAATGGCAGTTAGCCACTCTGGCTCCAGCACAGGAAAAAAAAATGTTTGCATAGATGAATGCAAAAGAACAGAGCACAAATAATGGGAGTTAGCAATCTATGCAATGCCCCTAAAATAACATCAAGTGTTCCGGCCTACCGCACATACATCAGACAGGTGCTGCATTAACAGTGATATATTGGTCTGACGTACAAGATCATCATCTCAAATTAAGCAGAACAGCATCAGGCTGATGATTCGGAACTGAAGCCAACACATTACTGCTCCATGAATGGAGAGCAGTTGTTTTAGTTGTGCATTAGTAGTACAGTTTAACAGTGTTGGTTGAAAAGTTGAGTGTTGTGTGCATGTAATGAAGAAGAGCAGAGGCGTCTAAACATGTAGAGGCGGAGAGAATGCTTCCTCAATAGAACCCCCGATTCATCTCTGTCAGTGAGGTATGCTTCTGGGAAATATTAGTGCATGTGTGCCTGTGTGTGCATGTGTGAGTGGGGCATTGACACCATGGTTAAACACAGTCCCTGGCTCTGATAAGAAGCCAGAAACGCAGCTGCCAAATGTAACTCTGATGAAATCTTAGTGTGCTGGAACTGAGTTGTTGTGTGTGAGGGCTTTTATGAGACAACGGACAGATTGAGACTGGCCTTGAAATTTGGCCCCGCAGAAATGAGTGTCTTCCTTTTGACAGGAGAGTCAAACCCATTCAGACAAGCACTGCCGGGAAGGCACATGATCCTCCTCTCATACCAACAAAACATTAACGCGTGCTGTTAAACCATTGCCTCAAAAGTCCGACAATAGAGGGAAACAGCAGGCTACAACAGAAAAGGCAGGGTTCAACTCACTGAAAATCTCTTTAGTTGCGTTAAGTAAAAAGTCTTACCCTTCCTGAGGACTCGTTTTTTGGCTCTGACGTCCGTCTCCAACTCTGCAGCTCTGATGTAAATGCGGACAGACTGCGGCAGGTGACGAACAGCCTGGGCAACCACAGCTTTAGCCGTGTCTCCTGGCTGGAGCCTGGCTGCCTCCAGCCACACATCCTCACTCTGTTTGAAGGGCAGAAATGCTTACTCCAATGGGAGGAACAGGAAAAGTTGCAGTCTGGCAACAATCAACAATCATTGCCCAAAAGTTGACTATTGTGAGCTCCATTCACATTCTACTGTATTGTCACAATGAACTTCTATTTGTTCTCTTTACCTTTGGACACATCTCTGTGCCTTTCATGATGAGGTTCCTGGCCACTTGCAGTTTTCCAGTCACCTCCTCCAGCCTGGCAGAAGCAATCCAGGCAGGCGGATGATGGGGGTTGGTCTCCCTCACCGATTTCAACAGCAATCGAGCCTTCTTGATGTCACTAGACATGCAGAGTCATGCATGAGTTATCAAATACACACAATAACTAATTTCACACAGATTTTAAAAGTACACCTTGTGAGGTGGACTTGTCTCTACCTGATGTCTCCTCCATAAGTGGGGATCATGGAGTTAAGATCTGTAAGGTAACCTTTTGGATCTACCACTGTCTGTCCACTGACCGAATCAGACACCTGATGGGACAGAAAGGGCGAGCGGACAGTTCAATCTTCTGGAACAGGACAGCGAGACAGTGTTTGATCAAGAGTAAAGTGGAAATCTCATGGTTTACCTGACTGAGCCTCATGTCCATGAGAGTGTTTCTGGCCTGACCAATTTTTCTCATATCCAGCTCTCCTGTTCCCGGTGTCATCAGGCCAGGGGTCATGCTCCCTGGGTAAGGTGTGTTTAGGCCTCCCAGCTGGTGGCAACAGCAAAAAACAACAAAGAGAAAAGTGTTATAGTCTGTATGGGTGTTTTGTGATGGCACATTTAAACAGCTTATGACAGATGTATAGATCACAACAGATTTTAACCACTGTAAATGATACATGAGACAAACTGATTAAAACTGCATCACTGCTGTAGTTATGGACTGTGACAAAGTACAATGCTAAAATGCTATGTGTAAATACATTAGAATAGCTTGTAAATTTTGCACCACAGTTTGCATATGGAGCAAAGGCTGTATTTTTTTATTACAAATGCTCATTAGCACTCATGTGCCAACTAATAGCACCAATGAGTGTCCGTTTATGGGTTGATTATTTTTTAAAAAGCATTGGAAACTCTGAACTGAACATTTTTGCAGGTTATCCTCTTTCCAGTAAACACACTGCCTTCTGCTGGGCCAGCCTGGAACTACAGCTCCATGTTCACTGGCATGCTTTTAGCTGCATTCAGACAGATCTGCAGAAATACTGACCCCCTGCAAAGGATCAACAGAGGTGTGGTTCTCTCCGCTCTGCAGGTGTTTGGAGAAGAAGCTGTCGGGGACGGGGGTGAGCTTTTCATAGCGAGGATTCCTCTGCCTCTTGTTCCTTGCATCACCAACTTCGGGGATGCTCAGCCACTCCTCCTCTGACACCTCTGCCAACTTCCTCTGTAAAGAGATGGAAACAAAGAGACTTGATATTGATGAAAGGTAAAAAAAGACAAAGGTTTTCCAAAAACTGGCTTAAACCTTTGATTCAAAGAGACAGCAGAGTGCAAGAAAATGAACATCAAATTCTGAAATTTAAAGAAGCAAATCTTTGAGATATAATATATACTTTGCCTTTTGTTTATGTGCACAGAAATAGCAAGACATATATGTGTGTTGCTATTTCTGTGTGTTAGAGTGGACAGTTATCAGGTTTTCACTCATAGGTGCAAGCCATTAATTCATCAGCGCCTTAGTAAGTCGTTTTACATGTTAAAGGGCGAAGAACAACCGTCTTGTGCACACACTTTCTTACCTTCAGATCTGAGAACTGCTGCTGGATTTTGGGTCGTTCCATACGGTATTTCTCAATTTCTTCTTTTTCTCTCAGCTCCCTAAAAATACACAAAAAATAATCAGTCACAAATACGGATGCAAAGTTTAATACATCTTAAGCCAACTAAAAATATGCAGGTCATGGTGTACCAAGAAGAGTATTATATTTTATTTCTATTTTCAGGTCTGGTATAAAACTTTTTTTTTTAATAACCTTCTTTCTTTACGTCTTTCATCCATCCTCTTGTCCAGTGCTGCATATATAGCATCTGCCTCTTCATCATCTTTCTCATAAGGTCCACTGGAGAACAAACTACCTGCATAACCATTAAACTACAAGGAAACAAACACACACACGCACACATCAATACAGGTGACTTTCAGTTACAAACAGTTACTTTCAAATCAAAGTAGAAATTGATTGATTAAATTATAGAAACCTCGTCATAGTTGGTGTCATTCAAATCTTCATCATCATCATCCTGATTCTTCTTCATTTGGTCCCCAACTGTCCTTTTTCCCGGGGGTGCATGTCGATCATCCACTGGATCGTTGGCATCGCGAGCAGGACCGATATCAGACCGGGTGGTGAAACCGGTAGCACTGCAATAAAAATACTAAGTAAAAAATACTGAATTTAAAATGTTCATTCGCGGGCAGGTTTGGAAGAAATCAAGCGGTTTATAGCTGCATTTTGAAATGCATGCTGGTGGTGGGTATCGGCTTTTCTGCAGTATCCTTATATTTGTAATTACTACAGGGTTGGAATAAACTAAAGGTTATTGCAGGGAGCCTCGATAAACAAGCACCTGCTGACAAACAAACTAAATCAGCCCGGTTAGGTAGCGACTCTAGGTAGTTAGCATTCGGTTAGCTCACCCTCTGCCCAGACCCGGGACGTAGCCCAGCGGAGCGGGCATTCCCAAAAACGGCTTCTTCTTTTTCCCCATGAGCGGAGAGGCAAGGGGCATTATCGGTTGGCCTCCGGTGCCACCCCCGGCCCCGGAGCCTCCCGAAGATGATTTCTGGACTAATTTTGGCGTGTGTTTTGTTGAAGACATCGTTGCTTCCACGATGAAAATGCTAACTGGCGGATGAACAACAGTCAAACTTCCGTTTCCACCAAAGAAAAAACAAAAAGATGGACCTCATACTTCTAGAAAAGTCTGCTTGTGATTGAAACAGCGCCCCCTGCAGTGCAGTATGACTTAGTCTCTATTATTGGACAGATGGACATTTTATGTTGATTTTTTATTAAAACTTTTAAGTTAAAGCAAATATAACAAGTATACTGTGTGACTTAAGCTATTTCTTCTGAATATTTATCAAGTTTCATGCTGGGGTGAGTTCTCAATCATTTTAGTTGTCTCTTTTTTAAAATAAGCCACAGGGAGGCAACAAATCCTAAAAGATATTAGGGGGAGGTTGACTGTTTAACAGAAAAGCGGCTTTAGTTTTTACTTGTGTCTAGTCTTCTTTGGACATTTTTCCAGTTTGCCAATAATGTAATCTTAAATGAGGAAAACAACATAACGTGAAATTACAAATAATTTGGAAAAATAAAATTGATGAATTCCAGATTATGTTCATTTTTTACATTGGTTCTTGAATTGTGACATCTGGCTTACCTTGATGGAACAAATATTTAACCGTTTTGGACATAGCTCTTCTAACTTGGGTGTCTTTAAAAAAAAAATCACATAATACATCCAGTAAAGCACCACACATGAAGCTGGCCCAAATCTGAATTGAAAAATCTGATGTGACTGGCGCTGTCAAAAAAAAAAAAGAAGGTTGAGCTACATATGAAGAAAAAGGATTTGGCCCGCATTTGACATGCAGTCTGAATGCAACCACTGCCTTGTCCCTAAAATGTGAGTCGTGCAGTCAGTGCTGACATCACATTCACAAGAAAAATGTGCATTTACAGGCATACAAAGGACATATGACATTACATCTGTTCTGTTTTCATCACCGAGGGACCAAATTCTATTTTCTTTTCATCTTAGTCTATCATTTATGTTGGAAAAAACAGGACTGTGCCATATATACAACTATATACTTCACTATGTCTTATTAAGGTGGCTTATTTCATAACTGACTATTCCTAGACAGTTTTACATCAAAGGGTCAATGTGCTTAAACAATGTCCTTTTTAGGAGGAAAACTACCCTGTCAAAAATGAATTCTCACCCACAGTAACAGTAATTTCTGTCATTTCTGTTCATTTTCTCAGACATTCTATAAACATGCAAATATAACAAAATATAGATCAGAGGTGACCTTTACTGCCTTCTCATAAGATGTGAAAGCAATGATAAAAACTAAATGTAAAATATATGAAATATATGCTGTGGTCAAACAAGGGACATAAGCCTGCAATTAGTAATTACAGTATAATATGACATTTCTGGGTTCCTTCCCATGAGATGAAGTGAGGCCATATATCAATTAGTTTCAATCACATTAACTTCACCCATCCGCAGTCTGAACTTGGGCCCCAGCCTTTACATTTTTCTTCATTTACATCCCCTGGGGGGTAGACACTATTTTACTCCCGGGAGTGGAAATTATGATGAAAATGGACTGTCAGACGCAATTTAAAATATATAGCTCACATTCAAGAACCTTCTTAAACATGAAGCTTAACTTTAGCTAAAACTGCAACGTCCAACTTGAAGCTCTTGTTTGATGAAGGGGATCAAGTCAAAAGAAAGTCACATTCTGCATGTCTGCATGATCAAGGTCAGCCTGAAGAGTGATAAATAATTGATTGATAATTCTGGCTTTTCACAACAGGGAAATATTGAGCCTGATGGAAGCTCATATGTCCTCCAATTAAAATACAGAAGAATGAATCCAGAAAATCTGACTGTTTTCATAACAGATGTGTTTCCAGGAGCACAATTGAGGCAAATGTCCACCAATCTCCCCAACACAACACATGAGTGGTAGCAAAAGGTCAGTTATCTGCTGAGGGGTTGTGAGGGCTGACTGTGGTCTTTCCAGAGATCACACCATCATACCATCAACATTTTCTCTGATGTTCAGCCCTAGAACATTTGGCAATGCTTGCTGTAAATGCAATTATTACCTGGTAACGTCCCTGTGTCAACCTGCAGCACAGTATTTGGCATTGTGGCAAAGACACTATTATGACCTCCAAATCTGGAGTGACATTTCTATTTCTAAGCAAATTAGCACCAAAAAAGAAGGTGATAATGAAACATCAGGCTTTTGATTGGTGCATTTACTTTATTGCACTGAAAGCAAGAAAACAAAGTGACAATTACAGTGGTTTGTTTACAGGAAAAAAAGACAGAGAAAAAAACTCTGAAAACTAACCATTTAAATAGCTCATTCCATTTCTTAACAAAGACTAATCACTTCATTTTTTAAAGGAGGCATTTTGAATTAAGGAGATGCACAAAACAATACCTCTCATTTGGTGATTAATACTTCATTTGGTGATATTATTACAAACTAATGCATGTGAAATTTGAAAGTGGTCCATTATTATACGCTATTGGCAAAGTGAACCAATGAGAGTGCGATCAATTGTTTCCGTTTGAGCGTGCTACAATCCTCAAGTTCATCTATTCATGTTTGTATCTGTTTGGATGGATGCATTACTCCGCTGAGGGGAAGGGCCAGTGACCAATCTGTCTTCTCTGTCACAGCAGATGTCCACTGTGTGGTATGCCCAGGTGTACGGCGGTCTTTAGGAAGATACCAAAACTAAAGAGTGAAACATCCCAGCACACAGCATCATGCCCTTTTTACTGTCAATTTAGTGAGAGAAAGCTGCTGACTCCAAGAGAGAAGCACCAGAGGAGATATTTCAAGATGACAGGTTTATTGATGTACTCACTGCACTGCCTAAAAACACTCAACTACACACACAAAGAACCACAGTCACGTCATTCATATTGCTGGGACAGCGCTGTCATATAATGTGAGCTCATCATATATAATAACAATTCAGAAAAATCAAAAACAAAACAAAAAATGGAAATGGACCAGTTTACATGCTCAACTCAGTCACAGCATTTTTGATAATATGTCTGATTTCAAAAATGAAAAGAAAGTTGAGTTATACTAAAAGATATTCCTAGTGCTTATTATCTACATTGTTTTATTCTTAAACAAAGAGAGGTGTCCTTGAGAAATGACAACAATTAATTCCTATTAGGGCCTTCATTTAGAATGACAAAACAGAGTCATTTTGGGAAACAGATGTGGAGTTTCATTGATTCTTTGAGCTTTTAGCTCAACAACAGTGCTTTGAATATTGATAGCTCATAACCAGTTTATGTTTTCCAGCTGAGATGGTGCTCAAAGGGAGAAAAAAGGAGGATTTTGTCTTGTGAATACTAATACATTTTCAAATCTGACAACGGGACATACTTGCATTGTGGGTCAATGAAAACGATTAATTAATCTAAACCCTGTATAACAAAAAGGACCCTTGCCATTAATAAGATCACCTTGAAATTGACTGTGTGGCTATGAATTACAATTAATCACATTAAAAACAATATAGGTTTCCCAGTTGCTTTTGTTCATACCTTATATGGAGATGTGAAATCATAATTTATCTCCTTACACCTCAAAGTACACTAGCAGTGGCCCCATAAGCCATAACGGGCATGGTCTCCCACATATGCAAATGCCTTTCTATCATATTTCAAATAAACTTCTGAGAATTGCTAAAACGGATTTATCCTGGCAAAACTTAACTTTTAGAAATAAATGGGAATTTGTAAGGATACTGCCTCAACCAGTCAACCAGTTCTCAACAACAGCTTTTATCTCCTGATGCTTTAAGAGAAATGTCCACATCCCAGTTGGGGTGTTTGTTCACGCAGGCTTAAACGGCCTACACACTGAAAAGATTGATGTTTCAGTCTGTATGTTACAAGGACCGAAACGGCCTCCGTCGTGGCTAAGGCTGGTTAGAGGTTACAGCCACATGTTGGGAGAAACAATTTGTCTTTTGTTATTCTAACGCTGCGTTTCAGCAAACTGCAGCACCACCAGTAAAACCTTAAATCTGGAACCTGTCTGTACTCAACACAATTCAGCACGGAGCTGCACGCTTTCCAAATGGAATTTACTTACAAAAAAACAGCAGCCTGATACATTTCAGTAAGTCTCCTGACAAGAGTTTTTGTGGAAAAAACTCAAATGGGATTCTGCTGGAAGAAACATGTTCACAGACATCACAACAGCAAATACATGGAGGACAAAGGTTACCCAGGCAATCCTGCGACTGCTACATAAAGCACACGTTTTTAATCTAGAAAATGCATTTTCTATTTTGCAAATGTTCATAAGGCAGCTGTGAAATAAATAAATAAACTGGAGCAGATTTTTGTCTCTGCTTTCCGCTTGATGTTAACGCCAGTCTCGGCTGCTCATACATCTTTTGGTTAATAGTTTTACCCTGTTAGAGTGGGAAAAAGCGGGAGAGTGAGAATTCCGCTCACGCTTGTTCAGTAAGTGGTTTTCTTTTTTTTTTACATGGTAAGTCTGACAGCTAACATGATTCACAGTACAGCTGATTTGTTTCGCTGATGACTGAGAAGATAAATTAGTTTGCTGATTGAAGCTGTTCTCATGACCTTTTGTCAGACTGAGACACTGTAAGGTTATTTAGGCAAAGTGAATCAGTTGATTCTGCACTGTCTTTTATGAGATGAGGAAATGAGACGAAACTCGCTCTCCCTGAGCTAGAAGAGGTATGTACAGCAAATACTCTGAGTGATTGAGACAGAGCATGAAGGCATGCACTCAGCATCAAACCTTTTCTCAGAAGTATATAGAGATGTGATAAACTCTTCAATTGGATTTCTTCAATCAAAATATTTCCATGTACTGAACATATTCAAAGATCATGCATTTATGTGTTTGTCTTGTCAAAGTTAAAGACATAAAAGATATTGACATCAGGCACTGTGAGCTGTTTTCTAAGCATATTGAATCCAGCTTTCATTGGTGGATCTGTGCAAAAGTGGACACGGTTCAGATGATAGTACTGCACGGTCCAGTTATGAGATATAAAGAGAATTAAAAATGCTGCTGACGGCATCCATTTAATTAATGGGTTTACGAA